AAAAAATAAAAAAAAAAAAAAAAAAAGGAAGGTGTTTTTTCTTCCACACACTTAATTTCTAAATGATGCTTGGGAAGTTCTGTGGTTGTATTTGCTCATCACAAGATATGTGTTTAAAATTCTTTGATAGAATTAGACTCACTGACATTTTAAAAAGTGTATAGAAAAGCCTGTTTAAAACTTTGCTTTCTGACAGATTGTGGCAGTGATGTACAGGGATTGTAACTCTTGTGTTTTGCTTGTGGGAATGAAAAATGGTGTGACCACTGTGAAACACAGTAAAGTAGTTGTTCACAGAATTAAAAATAGATCTACTGTATGATCCAGCAGTTCCACTCCTGGATGTACACCCGGGAGAGTGGAAGCAGGGACTTGAAGAGATGTATGTAATTTACATTCATAGCAGTGCTACTACCAGTAGCTAAAACATGGAACAACCTGGCTGCCCATGGACTAATGAACTATTAAGCAAAATGTGGCATATAGATATGATAGAATATTATTTAGTAACAGGAAGAAAATTCTGACACATGCTACAAAGTGGATGAACCTTGAAAATATGCTAAGTGAAACATTCTCGTCTCTGAAAGACAAATGCTGTATGATTCACTTAAATGAGTTACTTAGAATAATAAAAATCATAGAGAGAGAAATTAGAATGGTGGTTTCCAGGGCTGGGAGAAAGGGGGAAAGGGAGTTATTGGTTAATGTGTTTAGAGTTTCAGTTTTTGCAAAATGAAGAGTTGTGTATATAGATGGTGGTGATGGTTGCATAACAGTGTGAATATACTTGATACCACTGGACTGTCCACTTAAAATGGTGAATATGGTAGATTTTGTTATGTGTACTATACCACAATTTAAAAACTTGAAAAGATCCTCTCAACTTTTCTGTCTCTAAATATTTTGGTTAAAAAATATATTATTTTTAATCTAGAGGCTTTCCCTCCCAGATTTTGGCTTTGTCAATTCTACATAGAACCAAAACAAAGGGACATTTATATTCTTGCTTCCAGAGGAGTGACTTGATTTTCTCTTGTGCCCTGCAGACCCTGTCTCTGCCCCTTCCTGCCTCTCCCTCTACTCCTGGGGTCAGGTTTACCTGGTGGAGGCTGTGTGATTACATTTGTATGTCCTTGGGCCTTTGTTTGCTGCCACCATGTGCCTATGTTTTCTTTGTTGGGTATTTTATCTCGCTGATTATGTTTGCTTTATACTTGATCAATTATAGCAGTGTACTGGTTTTGGTTTTTGAAAAGACGCGATCTTCAGTTAGTAGCATCATATGTGTCCGAGGACACCAAAGATTCAGGAACATAAATTTACTGTGCTTCATCAGTTCATCATGCCTAAAATCCAGAAAGGACTTTGATTTGTGTCTTTAACTTGGGTAGTTGAATTATTTTGAGTTCCATAAGGTTCTTTTAAATGCTTCCTTTGCTTGTTTCCTTCCTTCCTTCCTTCCTTCTTTCCTTTTTTTGGTACCAGGGATCAAACTCAGATCCTTGTGCTTGCAAGGCAGGCGGTAGAACCATTGAGCTACATCCCCAGCCCTCCCTTTGCTTGTTTTCCATTGGAGAAAGTTGCTTTGAAAGATGGGTGCTTGTCCCTCTTTACCTCCTTCTCTCTACAATAAATAGCTTTGCCTTTATAGGATGTGTCCTCTGTCCTTCTAGTCTTTGTTACGCAGAGTGTTTCTCTTTCATTCCTATGGGAATCTGGGTGTCTTTGCTAGCTAGTGGCTTGCATTCATCCAGAGTTCCTTTCCTGGTGACCACTAAGAACAAAGTATAGCAAAGAGGCTCTAGATGTATGATATCCTATAGATTCCATGCAGAAAATAGATCCAGAGCTATTTCTGTTGTGGACCTCATGCTTCCAAAAATAGGGACTAATCACATCTACTGCTGGTTGATTCTTAGGGCCCTCTGCTCCATGTTAAAAGAGTTTCTAAGTTACCTGGTGGATTTGGGATGGGAGACAATCTGGTATAGACCTGGTACTTAGTTGCATTCTGACCCTTGCTAGGGGACAGTAACTTTGGGTGAGTTTTGCTTTTCCCTGGCCTCACTTTTCTCTCCCTCTCTCTGTCTCCTGACAGGCTTGGGGACCAGTTTTACAAGGAAGCCATTGAACATTGCCGTAGTTATAATTCACGGCTGTGTGCAGAACGCAGTGTGCGGCTCCCCTTCCTGGACTCACAGACTGGGGTGGCTCAGAATAACTGCTACATCTGGATGGAGAAGAGGCATCGGGGCCCAGGTGAGCTGTGCCAACCCTGAAACATGCCTGTGCGAGGGGTCCCAGTCTGGAGGGAGGTCCCGAGCTGCTGGGCCATGCATCTGGGTGGGATGGGCAGATGCTGTCAAAAAACTCAGCTAGGGCTGGGGATTTAGCTCAGTGGTTCTGCTGCCTGCCTTGCAAGTGCAAGGACCAGAGTTCAATCCCCGTTACCAAAAAACAAACAAACACAACTCGGCTGTTCTTATAGCACTCAGTGTCCCCAGGAATTTGACAAGATTTTGTGGGCCACTGAAGCTGTTAGGCAAAGGAGTGAAAACTCAAGATATCCAGCCCAAAGAAAGCAACATGAGAGAGTCTTTGTCTTTCATTCTTGGGTTCTTGTTGCAAGCTGGAAATTTTTAGTCAGATATAGGTGTAAGCTTAGCTTTGTCACCAGAATTCTGTTCCTCAGGTTTCCGATTTGTAAAATGTGGATAACATTAGTATTGACTACATAGGATTTTGTCTGGATTAAGTAAAAAGAATTCATTAAGCATTCATGGGTTTAGCAATAGTACGTTCTCCAAAAATGTAGGATGTTATTGCTGATATTGACTATGAAACCAGTCTGCTAGTCTCTAGACACATTGGTGGAGATTAGGAAGGCAACTATAGGAGTGCAGTTTTCTGGCTTTATATGGGTATATTAAAAGAAAACCACAGCTTTTTCATTTGAAAAATTTCACACCCATAAAAAAATGGAGAGAATAGTAAAATGAATCTCCATGTATTCCAGCATTGACAATGATCAACACATGGCCAATTTTATTTCATTCACACTCACCTGCTGCTTTCCTCTCTAAATCAAGATTGTTTTGAAGCAAATCCAAGACAACATATTATTTCATCTATAAATGTTTTGTTGTGTATCTCTAAATGGTAAGGACTTCAAAAAACCAAGCCAACCCATAATCACTATCAAATCTCACTTAGACTTTAGTATCATCAAGAATTTGGTGAACATTAAATTTCTCTCCTCTAGTTTAAATCAGGATCCAAATAGGATCCTTACATTGCAACTGGTTGACATACCCCTTATTTCTCCTAAATATCCTAATTTCTCTGTTTCTGTCTTGTTCGTCCTTTCCTAGTATTTGTTGAAAAAGCTGGGTTGTTTGCACAGTTGTTTCCCAGAACCTGGATTTTCTGCTTGGATCCCTATGGTGTTATTCCTGTGGACTGGTAACTAGGCCTAGAGATATTTTTTTTAAAGACAGGGTCTAACTATGTAATTGAGACTTCCTTGGAACTCACTGTGTAGCCCAGGCTGGTCTTGAACTCACAGCGAGTGATCCTCTTGCCTCAGCCTCCCGAGTTCTGGGATTACAGGCATGCACCATCATACTGGGCTTAGGCCTAGAGACTTACTCAGGTTCAGTTTTTTGGCAAGAACAATTCCTAGGTGGCAAAGAGAACTTTCATCAGGAGATACATACTATCTGATTATCTTTTTTTACTGATGTTAGCAGCCTTGATGATAATTGTTGAGATCCCTGATTCCATTAAGAGTTGCAAAAAGGTGACAATTTTAGGCCATCCCTATTTCCTTATTTATTAGCCCTAGGGCTTTTATAAAGAAAAAGCATCTCTTCATTAAAATTTTGGTTATTATGAGGTTGAGTTGACATAAGAAAGGCAGGATAAATGATTTTTCCCCCTTTGTTTACCAGTTTTCAAAATAATGAGTTGGTTCCTTTATATTCTCCAAAGGTGATTAATAAAATTATTTTGAGTACTATCATGAAGTTACAGATTTAATATATTTGATGTATTTGAATCCATTGTGATGGTTATTCTGCCTGATGCTTACATTTTTCCATCTTTGGCCAGGAGGGCTATCAATTCATACTGGTGTTTTAAAACAGCCCAGAGATTTGATAGCCTCTTTGCTCTCCTAATAGCAGAACAAAATGTATCAGGCTCACCTTGAATACTTTCTGCCCCTGTATTTAATCTGTATTTATATTTAAAGAGATTTATATTTAAGGAGATATTAGTCTTACAATACGTGCGTCTGGTTTGGCTATCAGGTTGATCCTGGCTTTATATATTGAGTTGAGAAGTATTTTTTCCTTTTCAGTGTTTTGGAAGAGTTTATATAAAATTGGTATAATTACATCCATAAGTGTTTTGTATTGTTTACCAGTGAATCTGTCTGGACTTGGTAATTTATTTGTGGAAGTATCTCTAAATTATAAATTTAAGCTCTTAAGTAGATATAGGGCTATTCAGGTTGTCTATTTCATCTTGAGTAAGCTTTGGTGGTTTGTGACTTGCAAAGAATCTGTCTATTTCATGTAACATGGCAAAGTTAGTTGTATAAAGTTGTTCATAAATTGCTGAATTATCCTTTTAAAATATGTAGAATCTGTGATGGTGTATCCTTTCATTCTTTATATTAATTATTTGAATTTTCTTTTTCATTTGATCATTTACACTAGGTTTATAAATTTTAATGCTCTCAAAGAAATAGCTTTTGGTAGAATTGATGTTCTTAATTACTTTTCTGCTATTTTATTTTTTTTTACTCTGATCTTTACTTTTTTCTTTATTCAACTTTCTTTTTATTTAATTTGGTTTCTTTTTGTAAGGTAGAAATTCGGTTCACAGATTTGAGATAATTTTTCATTTCTACTTCAGACATTTTCTTTATTCTTTAAATTTTTATCTTAGGTATTTATTTTTTTGGTACTGGGGATCAAACTTGGAATCTTGCACTTGTGAGGCAGGCAGCAAAATCATTCAGCTAAATCCCTGGCCCTTCAGACATTTTCTAATATAAAAATTCCCCCTAAATATTGCTTTTGCCTCACTTCACAAATTTTGATATTGTGAATTCCTTTTTATTCAGTGCAAAATATTACTTTTTTTGGTTTGGTTTTTTTCCTCAAGAATTGTTTAGAAGTTATTACTTATTCTTCAAACATTTGAGGCATTTTCTAAAGATGTGTCCATTTATTATTTCTAACTCAATTATATCCAGTCAGAGAATACTTTGTTTGACATAAATTTAAAAAATTGTTTGAGTACATATTTATGGCCTAAAATATGTTCTGTCTTGGAAAATGTTTTCTTTATACCAGGAAAAGAGAAAGTATTTTATTGCTTGTTAGTGTATTCTACAAATATCAATAAGGTCGAATTGGTTGATAGTGTTATTCAAATCTTTTATATCCTTACAGATTTCCTTCCCTACATACCTATTTGTTCTATGAGTTATCAAGAGGGAATATTGAAAATTTTATCTATAATTGTGAGTTTATTTGTTTATCTTTTTGATTCTATTAGTTAGTTTGTTTGTTTTTGGGGATTGAACTCTGGACCTTGCCCTTGCAAGGCAGGTAGCAGCAGCACCGAACTAAATCCCCAGTCCTGATTTATTAATTTTTGTTTCATGTATTTTGAATCTCATTAATTAGATGCATAATTTATTAAATGCTTCCTGATTCACCATGTAATCTCTCCTTGTCCACATTCTCCCACCATAGGATTGCTATGTATTCTTGATAAATTGATCCCTTTATTGTTGTGAAATAAACCTTTTCACCTCTACTAATATTATTTGCTTTGAAATCTATCATGTGATATTGAGATAGCCATTTTTTCTCTTTTGATCAGTGTTAATATTCTATTTCCCCTTTCTTTTACTTTTAGCTTATTTGTATCTTCATGTTAAAAGTTTTTTTCTTTTTTGTCAGCACATAAGCATGTCTTGCTTTTTAAAAGTAATCTGGGGGCCTGGGATTTAGTTCAGTGGTTCTGTTGCCTGTCTTGCAAGTGCAAGGACCCAAGTTTGATCCCCAGTGCCAAAATAAATAAATAAAAGTAATCTGACAAAATTTTCAAATTGGGTAATTAGACCATTTATGTTTAATGTGTTATTATTATACTTAGGTCAAAACCTATCAGTTTTCTTTTTATTAAATTTTCCTCCCTTTTCATCTTTTTCTGCCTCCTTGTTAGCTGAATTTAAATTCCATTTTATCTCCTTTTTTGTTGGCTTATGAACTATAGTAATTGTTTTTTATTTAATTGCCATAGTGTTTATAGTATAACTTTTAACTGATTCAGTTAGCCTTTAAGTAATATTATTCTATTTCATGAATGGTGTGAAAACTCTATAATAGTTTTGTGATAAACAGAATGATGTTTACCCCTTCTCGATATCCACATCTGAATGCACAGAATCTGTATATATATGTGTATCTTAAATGGCAAAAAAGACTTTGAAGATGTGATTAAGAACCTTGAGATACTGAGATTATACTGAATTATATAAGTGGGCCCAATAAAACCACAAGGATCTTTAGAAGAGGGAGGCAGGAAGGTCAGAGTCAGAGTGAGAGATGGAGGTAGGGCCATGTATTAGTCCGATTTTGCTAAAACAAAATATCCAAGCCTGGGTACTTTATAAAGAAAAGTGGTTTATTTAGCATACAGATCTGAAGATTCAAGGACGTAGTGCCAGCATCTGCTCAGTTACGGTGAGGTCCTTCTGTCTATGTTCCAGCATGGCAGATGGCTTCATGATGGGAGAATGTGGACAGGGAGAGATCACACAGTGAATCAGGAAGTAAGAAGGATTCAGGGGCCAGGTTTGCTCTTTTTATAACACTTTACTCCTTCAGGAACTAACTGGGGTCCCATGAAAATTGTGTTAATCTCTTTTGAGAGTGCCCCAATGATCTAATGGCTTTCCACTAACCTAACTTATCCTTCCTAATCAATCTTTTTCAAAGATGAAAAAGTATATGTAGTTTTACTAGGTATGCCACATTCTTCTTCGTAGTTTGAGGGGATGAGAGTAGTAGTTTCTATCAACAGAATATTTTAATAGTACAGTAGACTTCTTCATGTCAAAGTGAATTAGAATTATTGAAACAGAGGCCAGGATGGGGGATACTTTGCAGGAATATTGTGGAAGTGATCCTGTATCAGATCTAATAACTTCTAAACTTATATTTTAGTCCTATAATTTT